TGGAGGTAGCAAACCCCACTGTTTCTTTCTGCCTTGCACTTGCAGGAATAAATTTAGAGCTTAGAATCAACCTGGTGCCTCTGGCAGAAATAGTGACAGGCAACCCCGATCCTTGTTTCCTGGTATCTCACCTCTGAGGGACCCGGAATAAAGACCCGGTTATCTTCTCCCTACAAGCAAGCCCGAGAAAACACCGTGCATGATAAAGGCCCAGGCCATCACTCATCCTGAGGTTAGTGCCGAACCCAGCAGGGTTTCAATCAGCTGTGCATGGGGTTTCTGAGTCCAGAGAAGACTTCCAGCAGTGAACAAGAACAACACTAGCAAGAAGTTTGAAGAAGGGGCTGATGGTTAAGAGACTTTGGGTAATGACTCAATGTTTTGCAATGACTCATGAACTATATGCAGAGAGAGTAAGCTCTTTTCTGAATATGAGTTGCACTTCAATGGCAAGTTTATGAAAACAAAACAAAACAGAGTGAACAAACTTCATGTAATAGCCTTTGAAGCTTCCTGGGAGGAGATAGGGAAGGAAACCTCTGGTTCTACAAGGCAGCCCATTTGGGGAAGATGGGTGGGGCACAAGTGGCTGAACAGGGTGCCTGGCACACAACAGGTGCTCAACAAGCACTTTCTAGATGAATGTATGTGCATGGACGGATGCCTTCTCTGCCCATTCAATCCACAGGATTCATGACCTAAAAGTTAAGGAACCCCCCAAGACGTCACAGGTCTGGGGTTCCCCGTATTCTTTTGTCCTCTTTTGGCAGTTGCTACTGACTGCCTGCACAGCCTAGGAACGACCATTCAATGATGTCATCGCCAGGGAAAGTTGCCTGCTCCTCACTGGCTGTCATCATCCTATTCCCATGTAACCCGCCAAGCGCCAAGGAAGGAAGAGAAATGACAATTTAGAAATAGATGTAAAATAAAGGCATTTACCAAAACCCTTTAACAAATCAATTCCAGAAGGAAGAGGGATAGGTTTCAGATGGTCCCCCAGGCAGGCTCCATCTCTGAGGCTGAATGATCTCACGCTGGCTCCTGTTTGACAATTCTTCCTTCTCTGACATGTGTCTTTTTGACGGTGAATTACCTAGCAGATGGAGTACGGAAACCATATGCTGTCCTCTGCCCTTCTAAAAGTTGGTCAAGGTGACATTTCAGGAGGAAATGGCACTGCAGGGAAAGGATGCTGGCTGTCATCTGAAAGGCCAGCTGGGATCTGGTGGAGGGCACCGTTCCCTCTTTGTCATGGTCAGTGCATGAGAGGCCACCTACAGATTTCATAGAAGAGCAGTGCAGCACTGCGCGCAGCCAGGGGTCAGTAAGCACGCATTCTGGTCCTCTTTCCTGTCACAGCTGATCATTGCCTTGCCTGGTCTTTAAATTCCTAGAAAGGTGGCCGCTGATAAAAAGCAAGCTCAAAGAGGAGATGGGACTGGTCGACTGGCATCAGGCCTACCTTACAGCATCAATTAGAAAGCATTCCCGTGATACAGTGTCAGATCACAGCATACGATTTAGATGGATAAGGGGCTGGGAAGGTTCTGTATCTCGACCCTGGTAGTAGTCACAAAAATCTACACATGGATTAACACTGCACAGAGCTAAACACACACACACACACACACACACACACACACACACACACACACGGGGTTATGGAAAAGAGGTGAAGCCTGAATAAGGTCTATGGACTGTATAAATGTCAGGCTTCTGGTTATGACATTACACTACAGCTCTACAAGGTATTCGCATTGGGGAAAACTGGTGCAGAACACAGGATCGTCTGTACTTTGTTGATTCATCACATATACATGGGAGAATGCACATATTTGCTAGGTTTTATTCCTTGTGTACTAAATCAGAAGCCCTGATGGCACAGCAGCTAAGCACGCAGCTGCCAATTGAAAGGCTGACAATTAGAGCCCACCACCAGTTCTACTAGGAGCCCTGGTTATACAGTGGGCTGTTAATTGCAAGGTCTGCAGTTCAAAACTACCTAGGGAGAAAGACAAGGCTTTCTACTCCCATGAAGAGTAATAGACTCAGAATCCCACGGAGGCAGTTCTCCTCTCCCCTATGAGGTTGCTCTGAGTCGGAAGTGACTCAATGGCAGTGAGTTGGGAATTTGTTTGTTCGCTTGCTTGCCAGTTCCACAGGACAAAGATGAAGGCAGTCCCCTTCTATAAAGATTAGTCTGGAATATTCTATAAGCAAGGGCTGTGTAGAGTCAGAATCAGCTCAACTACAATAGGTTCTGTGTTTGGTCTATAATACGTGACTGGCACTTGTCTGTCAGTTTCTCACACTGTGGTGGCCTGGGTGTTGTTATGATACTGGAAATTATGGCAATGGTCCTTTAAATACCAGCCAGGTACCTCATGGTGGACAGGTTACAATTGCGTTTCCAGACTAAGAAAAACTAGAACAAAAGGCCCCCAAAAGAGGCTTCTTCCAAAAATTAGCCAATGGGTGCCTTATATGTAACAACAGAACATTGTCCTAGTGATTGTATCCCCAAAGGGATCAACTGCCAGAGTAGGACTTCATGTTGAACCAGTAGGCCAGTGAGGATCAGGAGGCTAATGCAGGACAGAGCAACA